AAGAAAAAAAAAAAAAAAAAAAAAAAAAAAAGACAGCTGAAAACTCGTAATGACCTTTTTTTTTTTTTACCTACCTTGTACGTATTTCTTCTTTCCATTTGTTTTCTTTTTCTCCCATTGTGTCTCATTTACATCAAATACAGTTAATCCTCTCAAGAAAGAATATCTAGAAAAGAAGAAGAGGAAGAATAAAAAGAAAAAAAGAAAAGAAAAAAGAAAATACAAGATTCAAGGAAAAAAAAAGGTAGATTGATCCACCATCTTCTAATTACATTCGATCTTGTATACACTCAGTTCTTTCATTTTCTTTTCTTCCAGCATCATATGCATAGTTAGATAGATAGATAGATAGATAAATGGAGTTTCTCTTTCTATCTATCTCTCTTCCCTCACTCTTCCTTACTCCTTTGCGTTTCTTCCTTATCTATATGTGTCTCTCTACTCAGCCTCACTTGGCGCAGGTGTGGCCCCACGCAGGTGAATCTCAAAACCCTTCACTGCAAAATGTTTATCTTCTGCAGGTGTTACAAAGGGTGGAATAGCGGTTGTGGAATCATCTTTACCAATATAAATAACATTATCACACATAGACAAGCAACTGATATCACCCTCAAGACGTACTCCACCCTCAAAGGCATTTCCTCGTAATGTGAGATGCTGTGTAGGTATGAGTGGTGGCTGCGGGACAACATTTAGAGCCTTTTCCTTCGCATCTTCTTCTTCTTCCTCTTCTTCTTCCTCTTCCTCCTCTTCTTCTTCCTTTTCTTTTGCATTCATAGACTCTTGCAGTAGGGTTTCTTCAGGCAATGGATCTGGTAGCAATGGTGGAACAGGACCTTTAATAAGTAGACATTCTCGACCACACCACCTTACCGCACAGCGTTTTATTTTTGCTGAACCCCCACTTCCAGAAGCCAAGATCCCAACAGTACTATGACTTTCCATTCGCGTAGCACAAACTTCTGTACCTGTGCATCCATTTAATAAAAGCATACCAATACCACTGTGTGCAATAAAACAATCCTGAATGGAAACATCTGCATCATCCAAGTAAACACCAACTGCCGTTGTGGTTGTTTTTGGTATTTTTGCTTGATCCAATATATGTTGCCATCTATGTGCAAGACGAAGAATTGGACTTTGTTGGGCGTGACGAGCGGCACGATATAATAAACCCTCTGATTCTGCTTTTTGTCCTTCTTGAGGAGCGAGAATAAGTGAGTTATGAATACGTAACCCACATCGTGGAAAAGCATAAACCGCATGCTCTTTCCCTCCATAAATAACACAGAATTCCACCTGTACTGCAGTTAAAGGATGACCTACTAAGGTCGTTACCAATGGTGATGTTTGATCTTGTGATGAGGATGATTGATCTTGCTGTGGTGGTGGTGTTGAAGAAGATGAAGATGATGTTACTCCATTCACTTCGGATAATTTTTGGATTATTTGATTACCAAAAACACAGTGACGAATAGTAGCTCGACTAAGAGACTCAAAAGAGACTCCTCCAAGGAAGCACAAACCTTGTACTTCTAATCGTGATACAACAGTATTCTTTTTATTTGCTTCTTCCTCATCCTCATCTTGATCTTCATTTTCTCTTTCATGCTCCTCATCCTCCTCTTCATCATCCATTGCATCTTCTCGAGGATCATAGTGTTTGATAGGTTTTAGTACCGGTTCTGTTGAATCTTCTTTACCAGTAGCAATAAAAGGTCCACTGTTAACTACTACCAATTTCCCATTAAATACAGGAAAACATGATGGATCTGATTTTGTAGGAGTTACTGTAATTGGTTTTGGTGCCTCAGCCCCAAAAGGTGCATACCAAGGTCCTATACGACGTTGATCTGTAGGGATTCGTAGTTTTTTAGGATATCCATACTTTAGTCCCATCGCCACAGGTACACCCATTATGTGAAGACCATCTAAACGTGTTTCATCCATTTTTACCTCCTTCTCAGTATATGAACCAGGATAAACAAGAACAAGATCTTCACGGTATGTTACGATTTCTAATACATCCTGTAGATTTTTTAAAGTACTAAATCCACCTACATAATATGTACTAGGTCCATCTTGGTACTCCTCAAGTTCAACAAGTTCTGTCCATTCTTCGTCTTCTTCCTCCTCTTCTTCTTCCTCCTCCTCTTCTTCTTCTTCTTCTTCTTCCTCTTCTTCTTGCTCCTCTTTTTTACGTGCGTCCTTGTCGTTCTTTTCGCGAGCCATTATCTTTTTTTTTTTGTTTTTCTTTTTCGCTCTTTATTAGTTTTATATCCCCAGAGTCCTTTCCTTTTTTTTTCAACTTTGAGAGAAAAAAAAAAAATAGAATCAAAGAAACAAATACAAACATACACCATCAGTTTCCATATATTCCAACAACAAAAAAAAAAGATCATCCGAATAAATTTTCAAAAATGTTTTGATAATAAAAAGAATAGGGAGAGAGAAGATGGGGAAAAAGATGCTCCCAACAGGGGTCGAACCTGTGACCTTGGGCTTATTAGACCCACGCTCTAACCGACTGAGCTATAGGAGCCATAAGAATCATTTAAAAATGGAGAGAAGATAATAATTATTATTGAGTAAATTCCCACAAATATACACATGAAAGGTCTACAATAAATAAAGAAGATGTACACACAGTCTCTCTCTTTCTTTTTCTCTCTAAGGGATAACTAAAAAAAAAAAAAAAGTAAACTAACTAAACCATTTCTTCTCTTTTTTTTCTCTAAGCCAAACACTACCAAAACACCCACTCTCACCCTTTTTTTTCTGTTACTGTTTTTTTTTTTTTCTTTCTTGTGTGGGTGAAAAAGTATTGTACAAAAAGAAGAATAGGAAAAGAAAAAAAAAGGGATTTTGGGTGACGAGATAAAAACTATTAGGGACAAATTTCAGGAAGGCATACATCTCGCGTAGGAAAGATATAAATTTTTTTTTTTTCAACTAGAAAAACAGAAAAAACAGAAAAAAAAAAAAAAAAGAAACGGCAACGACAGGGGAGACGTGGTTTTCTTTTCACATTTTTCACTGTTTCTCACTTGTGTCTGAAGACCTTCACTCTATTTCTTTTCGCTCTCAAAAAAAAAAGAAAAAGAGCACTAACCACCACAAATAAATAAAAAAAAAAAATCGCTCCAACTCTTAACCGCAAATTATGATGAACAAAGCACATCAGCGAAAAGATCCAACGGCAGAGACGTTTGTCTAACCAAACTCTTCATAGTATGGAAAAACGTATATATACGATTACGTGTATATTTGTTTATCTTTCCCCATCATTTTTTACTGTATTCCATTCTGTATATATTGTTGTTTCTATAAATATATATATACATATAGCGTTGGGTAACTACCAGTACTAACTATCACCACCGCCACCTATATGTAATATGTATACATTTTATATTCAGGCTAGATATAGTATGATAACATTCTTCCACTCTCAGGACTTTTAAGCCTCCGTTTACGGAGACCTAAAGAGGAAACATCCCCATGTACTGTGCCAGTTTCTTCTTCATTTACGACTTCTCCACGCTGAACTGCCCGGCAACGTTGTAGTCTCTGACGATACTTTTCAACCTGACGATCTAACATTACTAATTCACGTGTTAACTTTGCAAGTTCCTTCGTAAGAAGATTCAACGAGGTATGAGTTTCACGGGCTACACTTTGAAGTTGTGCTAAACGTTCTATTCCTACTGAACCTTGATTTGTTAAGACTTCATACCGACGTCGAGACTCTCCTGCGGATTTTTGAAGTACACGGCATTGTTCTTCTAATTGTTCTTTACTACTTGTAAGTTCTCCTTCACGACCTCGTAAGTTTCGTCGTCGTCTTTTTAACTCAAGAGTCTCACGATGAAGACGATAACTATACGCATCTACCGCCGCAACACGACGTTCACCGGTAAATTGTACATCATCACCACTATCACCACTTCCGTTATTATTATTATTATTATTATTATTATTATCATAATTATCATTATTATTATTATTATTATTATTATTATTATGAGATAATGATGGACGCTGAGAAGGAGAGAAGAGTAAGAAATCGGAAACCCCTTTAAGCGGTTGACGACAAATAGGACATTTCGCATCATTTTTATATTCATATAATTGAACAGCACAGGGGAAGTGAAGCATGTGACCACATGGTAATACCACAATACCTTCATTCCCCATGTTTACATGACTCTCATCTAAATCACCAGGACTCAGTCCATGTGAACGTTTTTCCTTTTTACGATACTCCTCCACTGCTGAGAGAAAGGTGCGTGTGATACTATCAATACCAAGTTCATTCCCATCATTAAGACGCGGAACACCCGGTGCGAATGTGATTCTAAATTCCTCTTCTTCTTCTTCTCTTTCTCTTTCTCTTTCTCTTTCTGTTCCCTCTACATCTCTTCGTGAGTGGGTGGATCCTTGTGAAGATATAGGTTTATTTTTCTGTGGAGTATTTCTAGGCGAAGGTGAGCCACAACTACCACTACTGCCAGGGAGAAGTGTTTGTAAACATATGGAGCACTCGGCAACTCGCAGAGTATCAAAGAGCATCATCCCTTTCTACTCCACTCTCTCTCTCTATATATATAAATAGATGTGTGTGTATATGTGTGTTCTTTCCTTTATTTAAAAATATTTCTGTTTCTTTGGGTGAGGGGAGGGGAGAGGGGATTGTTACTCTGTGATTCGATTTTTTATTTTTTTTTTTTTGTTGTTGTTGTTCCTTTCAACCTTTTTTTCTTTTTCTTTGGCGCCTTTCACTTTACCGTCTTTGTACCTTCACAAACGAATAGGATAAAATGTATAAAGAAAGAAAGAAAGAAATAGATCGATAGATAATGAGAGATAGAAAGAGATAGAGTATACAGTAATACCAAAACTAATAATATTAATAATAACAATAATAAATAATAAAAGTGTATTAATCCGTATAACTTGTTTACACAAGTAATGTCTTATAAATCTGTGAGTATATATATATATATATGTATGCATGCTTGTACCACTCGAAGTAAAAATTAACAACAATAATAATAATAATAATAATAATAATAATAATAATAATAATAATAATAAAAGAACATACGAATAAATAAGGAACTTTAAAGAATGAAATGGTAACAAAGAAACAAATAAACACAAACTAGGTATTCATATACAAACACAATAACATCAATATCAAGAAAGTGACCATGTGGGTGGAGGTGCAGAGAAAATAACAGTCTGTCCTTGCCGGCAAACAAATCCACCTTCTTTTTCATGAACACTATCCCAACTACAACAAAGATCTGGAGAACTTTCTTTATCAACTCTTGACTCTTCCTTGTGTTCCTTATTATTATTATTATTATTATTATTATTATTATTATTATTATTATTATTATTATTATTATCACTAGAATCTTTCTTTTTCTCTTCTCTACTTTCCATATTGTGATCAGCAGAATTAGAATTTTCATCCACTAATAATAAGTGATGATCCATTTCATACTTCCACGCATGAAGAGCCACAACGCCTTGGACACTATTACTAAAGGAAGCCACTGGAATACGTCCCAAACATTCCCAACAAAGATCATCATGTGTATAAAAAGTTTCACGATAAGTTTTGGGTAATTCCTCCACACGAAAATATATCGTTGTCCTCTTATCTTGTTTAGTAGTCTCAACTGTTTCTCTCTCCTTTTCCTTTTCCTTTTCCTTTTCCTCTACTTGTTCCTGTGATTCCTTATCGTTATAATAGGACTCATCCCCAATGATTGGATGTCCCCAATCACTCAAATGCATACGAATTTGATGCATACGACCTGTGAAAGGCACACAGTGAACTAAAGTCTCACATTCATCCCGTACAATATGTGAAGAAGATNATTATTATTATTATTATTATTATTATTATTATGAGATAATGATGGACGCTGAGAAGGAGAGAAGAGTAAGAAATCGGAAACCCCTTTAAGCGGTTGACGACAAATAGGACATTTCGCATCATTTTTATATTCATATAATTGAACAGCACAGGGGAAGTGAAGCATGTGACCACATGGTAATACCACAATACCTTCATTCCCCATGTTTACATGACTCTCATCTAAATCACCAGGACTCAGTCCATGTGAACGTTTTTCCTTTTTACGATACTCCTCCACTGCTGAGAGAAAGGTGCGTGTGATACTATCAATACCAAGTTCATTCCCATCATTAAGACGCGGAACACCCGGTGCGAATGTGATTCTAAATTCCTCTTCTTCTTCTTCTCTTTCTCTTTCTCTTTCTCTTTCTGTTCCCTCTACATCTCTTCGTGAGTGGGTGGATCCTTGTGAAGATATAGGTTTATTTTTCTGTGGAGTATTTCTAGGCGAAGGTGAGCCACAACTACCACTACTGCCAGGGAGAAGTGTTTGTAAACATATGGAGCACTCGGCAACTCGCAGAGTATCAAAGAGCATCATCCCTTTCTACTCCACTCTCTCTCTATATATATATAAATAGATGTGTGTGTATATGTGTGTTCTTTCCTTTATTTAAAAATATTTCTGTTTCTTTGGGTGAGGGGAGGGGAGAGGGGATTGTTACTCTGTGATTCGATTTCTTATTTTTTTTTTTTGTTGTTGTTGTTGTTCCTTTCAACCCTTTTTTCTTTTTCTTTGGCGCCTTTCACTTTACCGTCTTTGTACCTTCACAAACGAATAGGATAAAATGTATAAAGAAAGAAAGAAAGAAATAGATCGATAGATAATGAGAGATAGAAAGAAACAGTGTATACATTAATACCAAAACTAATAATATTAATAATAACAATAATAAATAATAAAAGTGTATTAATCCGTATAACTTGTTTACACAAGTAATGTTTTATAAATCTGTGAGTATATATATATATATATAAGTATGCATGCTTGTACCACTCGAAGTAAAAATTAACAATAATAATAATAATAATAATAATAATAATAATAATAAAAGAACATACGAATAAATAAGGAACTTTAAAGAATGAAATGGTAACAAAGAAACAAATAAACACAAACTAGATGTTCATATACAAACACAATAACATCAATATCAACAAAGTGACCATGTGGGTGGAGGTGCAGAGAAAATAACAGTCTGTCCTTGCCGGCAAACAAATCCACCTTCTTTTTCATGAACACTATCCCAACTACAACAAAGATCTGGAGAACTTTCTTTATCAACTCTTGACTCTTCCTTGTGTTCCTTATCATTATTATTATTATTATTATTATTATTATTATTATTATTATTATTATTATTATTATCACTAGAATCTTTCTTTTTCTCTTCTCTACTTTCCATATTGTGATCAGCAGAATTAGAATTTTCATCCACTAATAATAAGTGATGATCCATTTCATACTTCCACGCATGAAGAGCCACAACGCCTTGGACACTATTACTAAAGGAAGCCACTGGAATACGTCCCAAACATTCCCAACAAAGATCATCATGTGTATAAAAAGTTTCACGATAAGTTTTGGGTAATTCCTCCACACGAAAATATATCGTTGTCCTCTTATCTTGTTTAGTAGTCTCAACTGTTTCTCTCTCCTTTTCCTTTTCCTTTTCCTCTCCTTGTTCCTGTGATTCCTTATCGTTATAATAGGACTCATCCCCAATGATTGGATGTCCCCAATCACTCAAATGCATACGAATTTGATGCATACGACCTGTGAAAGGCACACAGTGAACTAAAGTCTCACATTCATCCCGTACAATATGTGAAGAAGATGATAATGATGATAAGGAATAAGATGATAAGGAATAAGATGAAGAAGAAGAGCCACAGTAACGTAGTGGTTGACAGAGTGTTGCAGCTTCTGTTAAGAAAGGTTCTCTTAATTGTTTTCGACTGGCATCCTGTGGAGATTGTACTGTGCTATTATCATTATCATTGATGTTATTGATGTTCTTGGCAGTATTATTATTATTATTATTATTATTATTATTATTATTATTGGCAGTGGTGTTATGGTTGTTTTCATCATCATCGTCATCTTCACGAAACTTGTAATGTACTAACGGAGAAGCGAGTAACACCGTTGGTCCAATTTCTTCCATTGAAGGACTTTTAGTTTTTGCACACTGTGTAGTAGAGCCACTGGTAGCGAGAAAAAGACCATCCGTTGGTTTATATTTCTTCTTCTTTTTCTTTTTCTCTTCTTCTTCTTCACTTTCTTCACTTTCTCCTTCTTTCTTAGGAATATTCCGTGTATGGAATTGTTGTAATGCCTGTTGAGGAAAACGACCATGCACACGTGCCAAGTATCGTTTTCTCACACCCACATAAAGACTTTTTAACATTTTTTCCTCTAGTATTGGAGGACTATTATTATTTTCATTCTTTTCCATCATCGCTTTCTTTTGGGCTCGTAATGGTAGTAACAACTCTTGTAAAAAGACGGTTTCCATTTGTTTTGTTTTCTTCGTTAAGGCTTCTCCCACCCGCCGTGTAGCGGCCCGCGAGACTCCAAACAATAATACACCCGAAGTGACTTTATCTAAACGATAACAAGGACGTGGTAAACGTTCAAATGGTACAGATTCAAGTACTTCTATTCCTTTTCCTGTTTTTTCTTTTTCTTTCTCTTCATTTACACTATAGTAGAAGAGCAATTCTTGAATCTCTTCTTCCGTTAAGTGTATAGTGGAAACAATGGACTGCAGTAAGGGATCACGTTGGATAAGCCACGCATTGAGACGTTTGGGTGTTAACACATACTCTAACATAGATGTACAGGAATTCATAAAATAACGACCTCCCGCATGTGTGGGAACTCCAGCAGGTTTATGTACAATTAAAAGACCATACGCTTTAATACGTACAGCAGCTAAAAGAATAGGATCCACACCTGTTATCCCCATCTTTATAGGTATTTCATGTCTATGAATCGTATGCAATACGAGATCCCCTTGTTGTAATACTGTTGGTTCTTCTGTTGTTTGGATAGTGGTTCCTTCACTTTCATTCGGCACATCCACGCCTTGTGATCGTTTCATTCGACTTCTACGTACATTGTGATGTAGACAAGGTTGTCGCCGCAGTCGTCCCTGCTGTACACATGCCTCATAATAGGCACGGGAGTGATGGGCGTGTTCTTCACTGTACACATCTAATAAAGCCCGTCCGGCCCATCGTCCCTTTACAAACACACGGAAGGTGTAGTGATACGGCACTATATACCGGCGTACAGTCAAGGTGGATTCACTGCGGTGTGTATACCACGGAAAGCCGGGAATGAGCGGCGTGGCGTACAGTTCACGTGCGGCTGGAGAGGCCCATGATTCTTCCTCAAGCTTCACAAGCCGTTCAACATCCATTATAGAAAGAGAAATATACACAGAGAGAGAGAGAGAGAAAGAAAGAGAGCTTTGTTTATTTTTTTATTTTTGGATAGTTGATATGGAAATGTGAAAGAGAGAAAGAGAGAAAACAAATAAAGTGAAATAAAGGTAGTGCATACATGATAGAAAGAAGTATGGGATCTGTCAAACAGCTATTATGTATGAAGTCATCATTTACTTGTGAGAAAAAAAAAAGAAAAAAAAATCAATAAGGAGGCGCAAGAATAGTTCAAGTGAGAGGAGTTGCAAAAACAACACCAGTATTCACTAATGCAATTTATATAAAGATTAATATATATATATATATATTTGCAATTTACTTCTCCTCAAAGATCACTGGCCGTCCGACCCTTCACTACCTTCATTGCCTTTCTCACCGCTGACGGGGGTGGAATAGGCTCCTCCAAGAGATGTAAAGAAACTAATAGTGACATGATACGATCATATCCATTGTTTTGATGGACGTGATCCAATGCAAAGAGAATGTCTCGTACATCCTGTAATAAAAGAGAAGAAGAAGAAGAAGAAAGAGATGATGATGATGACTGAAGAGATGTGATGGTGTAATCAATCACAACACTCCAGAATCGTTTATCCGCATAGCGTAAAGCAGCGAGAGCACTACACACACTCGCTACATTTTCCAAAAGAAGTATTCCCTCATCCGCATTCTCACCATTATGTTTCTCTAGTTTTTCATTCTTCTTTTTCTGCTGCTGTTGTTGCTGCTGCTGTTTCTCCAATTCTTTACGTTCCTTCAATGAAAGTAATCGCAGTTGTGCCTGACGTCGTTTTGTTTCTGAGTCTTGTACGTGTTGCATAGATGCCCGCATTTGAACTTCTAGCGCACGGGCCAAAGCATGCATATGAGAACACACCGTATAAGAGATGGCCGTTGATCGAAGAGTCTCTCCTCCGTTCTTCCCACTATCATTATTATTATTATTATTATTATTATCATTATTATTAGTCGGGTCACTAAAATCTGCACATCTAGCCAACGCTGTAGCGAGTGCCGCAAGACGGAAAGAGTCGAGTTGCTCACATGCACCAAGTGCTGGTAGCAACAGACGATAAAGTACAGGCATGAGTTTAATCGGTGGATCTATTCTTAACAAAGCTGATGCCGCATCTGCTAATAAGATAACATTTTCTAATTCCTTCGGTGTGAGACGAACACCCATATCTCGCACTCGCTCTACTGTAGAATCAGTGAAGAGTGAAAGATCCCGCATTATCTCTTTTCCACTCTCATTAAGGTTTGACTCTGTGGGATTCTCCGATGGATGATAATGAGTAGCGTAAAGGGCATAGAGAAGACGTTCTTCTGCCAAATAAAAGATAACTACACGTAACTCTCTGATAACGGTAGTAAAGAGAGTTCTTTCCGTTAAATCCGTAATTTTGTTTGTCGATTGTGAATCTGTAAAGATAAGAGGCAACTGGGCTTCACCAAGTTGTACCAAGGCACATAAAGCCTGTAGAAATACAGGAAGAGAATGTAAATCATGTGGAATTCGCTCTTCACTCTTACCAAATGTGTTAAAAGAGAGAATCTCTTCTTCTAACAATAAACGTAATTGATCCACTTCTGCAACTGGAAAGTGTTTTCGCCAAAGTTTGCAGAAACGACGCCAAGTGTCTACATCATCACCTCTTGTCATCACTACTTCTTGAATACTCTCCACAATATATTGCCAAACAGGCATATCTAATAATGATGATGATGATGATGATGATTCTATTGTTGGTGTTGTTGTTGTTGTTGTGAGGTTGGATTTAATTAAATGGTCAGAAGAAGACGTTGATGGTATACATTTCTCCGGTGTGTGAAGAGCATCACTGTGCTCACATCGCCGCTGGTGTAAACCAATAAAGTAAATGGACGGTATTTGAATACGCCATCTTCGCAGTGTATGGAGACAACACAGATTTATCTTCGTCATCATTGATGAAAGGAGTAAAAAAAAAAAAAAAAAAAAGACCTCATGTATATACAAATTAACAAAATAAGAAGAAGAAGAATGTAAAAAAAAAAAAAAAACAATTATAATAAGAGTATGAACATTACTGAGTTAGGATAGTGTGAGCAGTACTGCTGCCGTTGCATTCAAGGTTCAAGTAAAAGCAAAAAAAAGGAATTTTTTGTTTGTAGTGTGATGAATGAGAGAAAAAAGAGAGAAAAATGCAATTTTCATGGCATCTCTCAATCTCTCTTAACAAATTCCTCCATATTTCTTTTTCTTAAAAGAAAGAAAGAAAGAAGCAAACAAACAAACTTCAGTAGAGGCACAAGTCAATAATGTTGACGATAATTAAACCTTTTTATAACTATAAATATATCTCTCTTTCTTTAATGGTGCCATATGTGAGGAAAAAAAAAAAAAAAAACAGAAAAAAATTTTCTTTTTTTTGAGGGCAATATAAATTCTCTCCTTTTGTTTTTTTTTTCTGTTGAGCATTTCTCTCCATTGCCCCACTAACTCCATTTCTTATTCTTGTTATTCCTCTCATTCCCTTTTTTCTTTCTTTCCTTCTTTCCTTTCCTTTTCTTCTTCTTTTCCATTTTCGGGTTTCATCACATGTAATTTAAACTCCCACCTTCACAGACAATCTCCTCCCATCACAATCATCACTATTGGATTCCTCTTTTTCAAAATGAAAAAAAAGAGGGCCATGCAAACAGAGAACAAGCGAAAAAAAAAAAAATAATAATAAATAAAGTAATCCAGAAACACAACAACAACAACAACAATGATAAAACAATAATAATAACAATCATCAACATCATCATCAATGCAAACACCTCATTTCTGCCTCTTTCTCTTTTTCTTCTCTTCTCTTTTCTTCTCTTCTCTTCTCTTCTCTCTTCTCTACAGTGAGGCCTCATCGGGTAACATACCCTCACGGAAGGCCTCCTTCAATCGCTGTGCCAACTCCGGGGCGAGATCGTTGCCGTAATGTGCGAGTAGTGCCTGCAGTTGTCGTCCCTCCTCCGCGGTGACGGGCCGCACACGTTTGCCGGTCTTTGGGTCCACGAGATCATCCCGCTGCTCCATCACAACCGCCAACATATCATTTGCCTGTGTGAAGATGGCCTGCAGAGATTTCTTTGGCACATATATCTTTAGAGTAACAACCACATCCAGAATGCTGAGAATAACGGGAAGTGCGGGATAATCCACTTCATCCAATCGACATCCAACTTGTTCTCCCATCGCCCGTAATTTCTGTCGAGTTGGTTCCGCATTCATGGCATTTCTCCCCCCATCACTTACCTTTGCATAGCAGGTGCGAATACTAACCATAGCAGCATTCGCCATATGATGAGTGAGTTGATCTGCTGTGCAAATCCGCTCTACAAGTCTCTCACACACCTCCAGTCGCATCGTTCGCCATTTGCGGAGTACATGTGAGAGCGTTGCGCATTCATGCGGTGTGAAATCTCCCACGTGATTTGTTGCCCGAATGGCGAGTGGTTCCAAATGAAAAGGCGTGAGATCATGTACGGTGTAACACTGTAGAATACCCAATAATGAAGGGAGATCAAAGTCATTCGCAAGAGTTCCTACTCGACGTGAAAGGGCAAGTAATATTTTACGTCTAATATCAAGTGTTTCCTTTGCACATCCACGTCGGGTTTTAAATAATCGTGTAGAAAAGGCTTTAATAGAAGACATATCAATATTTTCATAATTACTAAATTTTAACATTGCCTTTTCCATACGATTCCATAAATGACGATTATAAAAATTAGATGATACCACATGAGTAGAGATGTAAAGTACATCATCTGCTGAAAGTACACCATCATTATCACGACGTAAGACTTCTACAGTTAACATACGCATAGCGGCTGTATACTTTGTCTCTTCTAACCAATCTCTTTCTTTTAATGATGTAGTATAATAAAGTGTACGGCGAAGTTCATGCATACCTGCTTGTTGTAATAATGGTGTCTTTTGCATTTGCTGAACAAGTGCCGTCATCTCACTTACCGCAGATGTTTTGAGTTCATCCACAAATTCTTCCATTCCTTCTTGTGTGAGAATTTCCGCACTTGCTCCTAATGCATTTTGTGCTTTTAATTGTAATGCCAACTCATCTGCTTTGGCAATACATTCAGATAAGACATCACAGTGGCCTGTAATAGCCGTTGTCGGGGCTGTCAATGCCCCGTTGGGTCCTGAACCCGGTGTGTATGTGACTGGCAGTGCCCCCTCAACTCCATTGGCGGATGTCATTGCAGTTTCCTGCGCTGTTGTTGTTGTTGTTGATGTATTTCCGGAATAACTTGTTACCATCCATCGTTGTTGGTTAGAAAGTGCTGTATAAGAGGATGAGGATGAATGGGCACCGGCACTACAAATATACAGTTGTGTTTGTTGTTGTGATGGTGATGGTTGTTGAGAAGATGTGAACAGTGGTGCTCTGCGGGAGAGGACCCGTGAATTTCGCAGCGCGTAATGCTGCACGACTAAAGAACGTCGCATGTGAAGACGATACTACTACTTTATATACATATATATATTGAAATGGTTTTTATTTTGTTGTTATTGTTGAGAGAACAAGAAGGAAAAGAACAAAATAAAGCAAAAAATAAACATGGATATCTATATATATATATA